GTAGAGATGGGGTCTCGTTCTTTCTTAGGCTGGTCTCGAACTCCTGAGCTCAAACAATCCGCCCGCCTCGGCCTCCCAGAGTGCTAGGATTACAGGAGTGAGCCACCGCGCCCGGCTAACCATTTTCTAAATATAACTAATTTAAAAGAAAAGTGAAGCTCTTCAGATATGACAATGGTTTGTTTATGATTTTTTAAAAAGGTTAATTCAAACAATAACTTATTGATGTAAAAAGAATTCATCTAAGATTCTTACTGAATGTCAAAATGCAAAGAAAATCAAAACATAGTAAAAAAAATTTTTTTACAAGCACTAAGATAAAAGAACCTATTATATATAAACAAGATATATACTAGTTATAATTTTCAGATCTGCAGGACTCCACAAAAGCATACTTTAGATATTTTATTGATTTAGAAGGTATAGACTGAATTTTGTTAAAAACAAAAATCTCTCATATTGTTCTGACTTTTAAACATTAAGCTAAGACTGTCTTTATATGACAGTAACAAAGAAATGCTGATATAAATTCAGTATTCATAACGGTACAGGTTAGAGGGATTATATCTGAAAAGTGAGTGGATATTTTATGCATAAATATATACATACATACATACATATGTATTGTACAGCTTAAGGAGCTTGGGAAAGATTTAGGAAATACACAATCATTAAAAATTTATTACATGAACCTATGTTTATTCTGCAACATAGTTGAGCTAGAATATTAGGAACTTAAAAAAAATTTTAATGTGCACGTGTGCATGAAAGTCCTACGAAACACAAAATACTCCAGGAACTTTTATTATAAGCTCTGCAAGAGGGGGAAAAAAGAATTGTGATAAAAAATGTTTAAAGATTCATACTAACTTGCTTGTATCAATTTAGGCTATACAACTATATCTTACCTCATGCGCCTGCTTCCCACTATAGGACATTTTCTTAATTGCCACCACCTCATTGGTGCGAGCATTCGTAGCCTGTGTTAAGAGGGTACAAGAAAAAAAAATTAATGTTTCAGCCAGTTTAACTTAAATATTTGACTAGAGACATTAATTGATTAATTAATGATTTTTAAGACAGGGTCTCAGTCAGTCACCGAGTTAGGGTACAGTGGTGTCATCATAGCTCACTACAACCCCAAACTCCTGGGCTCAAGAGATCCTTCTGTTTCAGCCTCCATAGTGGCTGGGACTACAGGTACATAACCACCACGCTTGGTTAATTTTTTTTTTTTATTTTTTGTAGAGACAAGGTCTTGCTATGTTGCTCAGGCTGATCTTGAATTCCTGGCCTCCCAAAGTGCTGAGATCACAGGCATGAACCACTGTGCCCAGCCTGACTACAGATTTTTAAAACAATATTCTCACACTTCAGCATCACAGTTTAAAGATACTCCAATTTTTGATAGGCTAGATAGACATTTCCATTCCTACATTAAGGTATAGCTTCTTGGCCGGGTGTGGTGGCTCATGCCTATAATCCTAGCACTCTGGACTCAATGATAGTCCTTGGAGCAGTGCTATCCAGTAGAACTTTCTGTGATGATAGAAATATCCTATATTTACACTGTCCAATATAGTGGCATTGAAATGTGCCTAGTGTGACTGAGGAAATAGATTTTATTTAAATTTTATTTAATTTATATTAACTTAAATTTAAATAGTTACATGTGCCTACTG